TTGGAGTTGACCAGGTGTGACAGAAACTTATATCAACAAATGACATTCAAATGTTTGGCAAGAATTTCCACATATGATGTGGAATGTATGCTGTAAATGTGTTTTGTTAATGAATAAGGCTACGTTGGGCCTATTGCAGCACAGAATAAGGCAAGGTGGGAATTCCAAGCAGATAGAGAAGGAGAGAGTTGGCAGAATCAAAGGAAGCCATGTGACCACCGAAGGAGAAAGAAGCCCACCCCAGAACCTTACCAGTAAACCACGAACCTCATAGTAAAATATAAAATAATAGAAATGTGTTAATTTAATATGTAAGAGCTATCTAGAAACAGACTTAAGATATTGGCAAAGCAGTGTTGTAATTAATACAGTTTCTGTGTGGTTATTTTGGATCTTGGTGGCCAGGAAATGAATGAGCAATCTCTGCCAACACACATAAAGCCTGAGAAAGTGTTTTTAAAAAAGGATTCTAGACAGACAAGAATAGAATAAAGGGCAGCTTCTTGGTAACCATCTTTTCTCCAGTAGGCTCTGTTTGCTGGTGGTGAGCAGACACAGCTTCTTTAAGAAAGACTTCCTGAGTCAGCATTAGTGGTAAAAACCTCACAGACCTTTTAAGATGCTCTGCTACCAAACACTTAAATGGTGTTTATGAGCAGCTTGTATCAGACTTCTTGGTGGTGGCATAGACCTAGAAACTCCACAGAGTTGTGGCAATAAATGTGGCCCCATCCAGTACCTTAGTCATTAATCTAGACTCTCAAAAGTTAAGGAATGGGGTGGAGCCAGCCACCAAAGTCAGTTTTAGTCATAGCCATATTGCTTAACAGATTAAAGAAGCATATGATCAGAAAAAGATAGAGATATACAGTAAAGATATATTCAGACAAACAAAATCAAAAACAAACCCCTGAAAGATTACAGTTTGTTTAAAAATATATATAGGCTTGGAATTGCTGTGGGACAATGGTTTTACCCTGTAAACATTTATTTCTTGTACTTGTTTAATAAAATGCTGATTGGCTGGTAGCCAGGTAGGAAGTAGAGGTAGGGCAATGAGAACAGGAGAATTCTGGGAGGATTCTGCAGTCTGCAGGCATGACCCAGACATAGAGCAAGTAAGATGTTACTGCTTCACCGAAAAAGGTACCAAGCCACATGGCTAACACAGACAAGAATTATGGGCTAATATAAGTTATAAGAGTTAATAAGAAGTCTAAGCTACTAGGCCAATCAGTTTATAACTAATGTAAACCTCTGTGTGATTTCTTTGGGACTTAACGACTGCGGGAACTGGGCAGGACAGAAACATCAGACAACAGTTTGGGAGAGTAAAGAGAAAATCCTTTAAAAAAAAAAATAGAGTAGTCAGGTGGTGGTGGAACACACCTTTAATCCCAGCATTTAGGAGGCAGAGATAGGCAGATCTATGTGAATTCAAGGCCAGCCTGGTCTACAGAGTGGGTTCTGGGACAACCAAAGATACATAGAGAAACTCTGTCTCAAAAAAACAAAAAAAATTAAAAAAATAAAATAGAGTGGAAAAAAGCCACATAGAGATGGAAAATACAAAAAGAATGTGGATATTGTATGTTATTGTCTTGTCTTTGAATTATTTGATTGCTGAGAAAGGAACAACAGCTGCTAAAAGTTATTTGATTGTAAATGATGCTGGATTAATTCAACCTATATATTTTGGAAATGCCTTGACTTCAAAGTTTAAGTCAAAAGATATGTTACTTTGGAGAAGAGGTTTTGATTTGTTTCCACAGGAAATGAGAGGCTGTAGATTCATTCTGGGTTAAGAAAAATAAGGTTTGAGCAAAGAAGACCCCCTAAAAAGTCTCTGATAGGTGTGAATGGCCCAGATGATCTGACATTTTAGAGCACCTCTGTTGCAGTTTCCTCTGAGCTCTATATTCAGAACAGCTTCACGTCTGCTGACTGAGATGATCCAGCCTGACAGAATACTCCAGTCAAGACTTGACCATAAACCTAAATTCTTCTGGATCCCTATAAGACTATCAGTGCTCCAAAATAGCAAGAAGTAGCCTAGAAAACTATACTCATATTCCCAAAAAGTGGATTATAGATGTTTGTCTTTGTTTAGTATGTTGGTTACAAACTGTTATGGATAATGGTCAGGAAAAAGATAAACAAAAGAAATTAGATTCAGGATCTTGTTTTGAAAAGAAAAATGGGGAAATATGGTAGGAAAATGCTCTTGTACATTTTAAAATTTGTCACTTGCATTGGTTTAATAAAATGCTCATTGACCAGTAGCCAAGCAGTAAGTATAGGTGCAGCAACCAGACTAGGAGAATTCTGGGAAGAGAAAGGCAGAGATGCAGTCACCAGCCAGATGCAGAGGAAGCAAGGTGAGAACGCCTCACTGAGAAAAGGTAGCCCATCACATGACTAAGCACAGCCTTCAGAATTATGGGTTAATTTAAGTTGTAAGAGATAGTTAATAAAAAGCCTGAGCTAATAGGCTAAATAGTTTATAATTAATATAAGCATCTGTGTGTTTCTTTGGGACTGAATGGGTGGCTCCAGGCAGGACAGAAACTTCCATCTACAATATGCCTTTTCAAACACACAGAGAATTCATACTGACATTAAGTTCTGTCCCAAAGGAAGTGTCAGCACCCTTCAAGAAAAACCACATTCTTTGCTCACAATACAATTAACTGGAATGAGTGATTCTTAGAAAAGAAATACTCTGAAATTTAAAATTGTGTTCCTAGACATGGACCTACAACTCAATTATAGTTGGTAAGAAGTAAGCAGATTTAGCTTAAGGCCATGGTTTTAGTCCCCAGTGCCATTTTAAAAAAAGAAATCATGAATTAAAGATGAAAACACACTAGAAATGTAACATTAAAAATTACAGTTAAAATAATGTCTAGACTTAAAAGTGGCTTTTAAACAGAAAAGTTTGAAAATAAATGAAATTATCACTTAACCCCACCCCCAAAACAAAACCAGAGAAAAGGGATTGAAAGGCAACCTCACAACAGAGGAAAAGTGGAAACAGGAATTCGGTAAATCCATTCTAGTAACATAAAATTTCAAGAAATCACAATGAAGATGATCATAGATACAAAATACGTACACAGCAGAAAATGTTACAAGAGCCTGGCTTTCCCCCAACAGCTTCCATCACTGTCTGTCTGCCCTGGTCTAGCAGCAGCAGGCTTCCAGCTCAGCGCCTCTCCAGGCTTGCTTGTCTGTGCTGCTTTTGACCCATAAGTCTGTATGCTCTGTTTTTGTCTTTTACCTGAATGCGGTTAGAGGTTTTCTATTTTTTTTCTGTATTTCTTTTAAAATTTCTTTTTTATTTTCAAATTGCTGTAAGCATTTATCTGTCTTATCTGTCATTGTTATTTGTTCAGAGCAGAGAATATTCACTGAAGCATAGGCTCATGGTGTCAATTTAACCAGAAGTTTTCTCTTGGAAAAACATCTTTCCTTTTGACGACTAAACATAAGCACAAGGGAAAGCAGTGCAATGCAGTGCACACTAGTTCTTTACGTACCATTGTCTTTACTCCATAGAGGTTCCTTTGGAGGGTTTTTATTCTACCTAAGGTGGCTGTAGTCAGCAATTAATTGATTGATCACCTTACAGGGTATTTATAATATTTTTCAATAAAGCATACTTCAAACTGGTACACAAACGAAGTCCCACCTTGCTGGTCTCTGCATCACAAGGTCTTCTCACCCTGTGTGCGGATACCGCGTCATCAAACCCCGTTTAAACCACTGCACTTCTTTCACTATTACCTGCCAATTCTTTATTAGTGCTTACGGGAAATTCGAGCCCCTGACATAACCACATCACCCCAAATCCTGACTCTCTGGTGACTAAAAAATCTGTTCTTCAAAGCCTGACCTAATCAAACCATATCCTCACCTCATTCTAGACTTTGTTTACGTCTATATTTGATGTGATTGTGACTTGGTACTCTCAAAAAGTATGTGTTCCCTGTTTGAATTCATGCTCTCAAGAGCATGGCAAGTGTAGAGAGCTGATGATGTTGTAAAATGGGAAATGTCTGGGATCTGGGATTAGAGACGTCTAAATTTAGATCCTAGATATATTACTGTTTGAACATGAGAAAATATCTTGTCTTGCCGAAGATACCTATAGGCAAATTAGAGGTTGTAACCTAGCCTCTGGATCATTGTGAGGACACGGGATACAGTAAAACTAGAAGGGCTCTACCTCTGAGCCACGCCCCTAGCCCCTCACTGGGGAATTCTAGGCAGGGGTTCTAGCCCTGACCAGGTACCATCTGATGCCAGAGATGCTGAACCCCTGGAGTTGGTGTTACAGGAGTTTATGAGCCATGAGTGCTAAGAACAAAAGCTGACAAGCACTGTTCAGCACGGAGCCATCTTGTTAGCCCCACACTATTTCACAGACTCCCAAGCTCCATGGTGCGTCTGCATCACACACACAACACAGGACTTGTTAATCCCCTTCCCTCTCCTGTTCTGCCCTTCCTCCTACTGGGTCTCCCCTTATGGCCCCCTCCCTCACTGTGTTTTCATGATTTTTCACACCTAGATTTTATATACAAGGTAGAACCTAAGATAATTGCTTTCTGATGAAAGAAAGATAAAATTAAGATGTACATAAAACCCATATGGTGGCCATCCCAGAGCTGTTTCTCAGTGTTTACACTCTCTTTGGTTACTCATATAGTTCATGAGCTTATGGACCATTATTCTATAGGTTGTTCTAGTACTAGGAATCCCTTATAACCGTAATCATTAGCTCAGAATTCCTACATAAAGGATACGTGAATCCATAATGAGGAATTACACTACCTGCTTCCTTCAGGGCTGCTCTAATAGTAATCTCACCAGAACCACCAAGCCACTCCAAGAACATCAAATCTCTGATGCTCATAGAAGGGAAGTATTAAAATCTATTAAGAAGAGAATTTACAGATACTTGATACCAGGTGTATTAGTTCCAAGTCCCAACTCACCTGCCAGAACCAGGTCCCTTGTAGTATGACGAGGCTTGACCGTAGGAGCTCCAGAAGTACATTGTTCTTTGTGAGGAATTCCATGAAGGTAACCAGACCCGCCAGAATGGTGGTAAAGACCAGAAGCTGGTGCACAAACACATCTATCATTTCCCGACCATGAGTGTGGTTGTAGAAGATAAACGCTAACAGAGGGGGCAAAATACATGTTCTGATAAAAACCAAAGGTTTCCCATGGTACCACCCTCTCGCCATAGAATTTGAGACAAGCATAAGATTGTCCCAAAGAGGAAATCCCCACTGAGGCTCATAGCAATGCATTTTTACTTTGGGAAGAGTAAACATTTTCTATTACTTAGGAAGAGAGTCTTTGAATTCTAATCCCACTTTTCCCTTCTTTGCACCTTTGTTCTCTCATCTAACATACCATAAAAATCTCAACTCTTGTTCAAAGCATTATCTATGTAGGATAATGTTTAATAAACATGACTAGGGTAGGAAGCTAGAATCAACAAATTAGCTGAAGTCAAAGTCTCACTTTAAGGAATTCAGCAAACGCATACATAAATTATAACAAAATATTAAACACTTGCTTTATCCTCCCCTTATGATAACTGAGAAATCAACTAAAAAAAACCCATCCTGTTATTTTCATTAACCTCTCAAAATAGGAAGTCATTTTTTTAGACACTCATACCGCATTTTAGCAGAGTTTCTGATATTTGAAAAGCTTATTAGAGATTGCGAGCTATTTTCTATTGTGAGTGGTTGCCCTATTTCAAGTAATTCATGCACTATTGTGCTGAGTTCAGTTTTCACTGTTAGAAGAGAAAAGAACAACAAGCTCCACCATAACCAAGAGATAAGCACCCGCGGTAGGTGATGTCTAAAGACAGATATGAAGTGTCAACAAAGCGTTTGAGTGACTGTCTGCCCAGATCTATTAAATTAGTCTATAAAGATGAAAGAAGGGAAGACTATAGGTATCTTCTCTAGGACAACCATATATTCAACTTTTGCCCAAACAGATAGCCCTGCTAATCAAGGTGATATAGAGAAACAAAAGGCATGTTATTAAAAGCACTATGCCAATGCCTACTGATAGCAAAAGAGCAGAAAATGTATTTCCCTCATACTTACACTCCACAAAGAAGGCATTTGATAACATTAACTTGCTTAAAGAAATGGGAACTAAGTTGGTAGTGAAACATAAGATTTGGGCTATCCCCATTAGCCCAAAGAAGAAGTACATGGTTGTGTGATGCCAGCCCAGAAGCTGGTTCCACTGGCCGTCTTTATACAGGTTCAGGTATGGTCCGCCTGTGATAAACTGCTCCCCAGCCATACCTGTGGAGGAACACACCACAGTTTTAGCAACCCTTCTCCTAACTCTCCTTAGTGTGAAGACACAGGGGCATGTGGTCATTGCTTATTCGATCTAAGCTTGTGGTGTCGATTGCGCCCTCTGAGCTTTCCACTAAAAACCTAGCAGTAGTGATTTAGACTTGATTCCAAAGTTCAGCTGTTGATTTGGATAATCAGTTTTATCTCCATATAGACAAATGAGCCAAACAATTGTTTAGTATCCTTAACACTGGTAATTTATTTCAACAACTGGTTCTAATTTAATGACTAAAATCCAGGGTGACATGGAGGTTTGGATTTATAATATGTGCCATACAAAGAATGTTTACTTCCTTCCTAGATATTGTACCCTTAGGCAGCTGTTACAAAGTAGGGTGTTGACAAAACTGATATAGAATTTAGATATTTTCCCCAATTAAGAAGAATAGAGATGATTCATGCAGACTCTACACATGGTTAATTATTCATGTAAACAGGTTTGTTGTTTTCTGGACACTGCCTTGTTAGACTCTAGAATGAGCAGGGAAATTCTTCTCCTTGGAAATGGTTACTTTGCAATGTGACAATCATAACAACGTCCTAGTTACATGAATGAAAAGAATCAGTAGAAAAATTAGAAGTGTTGCCATTTACAAAGGAGCAGCTACAGCCTTACCGTAAAACTGCTGTCTTTTATGGAATGTTCAATAACAATGAGAAGTTATTGAAGTTAAAAGTTACCTGGACTCTGCCCAACTCAGGAAACAAAGTGCATGGACATGGAGATTCAGGCCTGATTCCCTCTATCATTTCTCAAAAATAATTTGTTATTGAAGATTTTTCACAATCACTTATTAATGGTATCTTATAGAGTGTACTCTTTGAGGGATCAGAACAACTTGTGTCTAACTATTCAATAGGCTCCAACTCATGATTCAAAGGAAATTCACTTGGTTGGATGGGCAAATTAAATACTATGACTCATTAAGGATTAGGCTTTTGTATAATTATGAAATATCATTTTCCTAGGATTACATCAGTTATAAACTTTAATTAGGATAAGTACTAAGAAATATATTTGTAGAAAATTCATTTAGTATATACCAATCTTGTATTGACATTTTTCCCTCACTCATGAAATTCTCAAAAGGAGAAAACAGAACACAGCCAACTTACCAGTAAAAGCCATCAAGACTGCGACAATTCCTTCCCAAATCTCTGCTCGACGTAATAACGTTTTGGAACTCAGGTAGCAGGTCCGAGTTTGCTTTTTGTAGACATATTTCAGAATACTCTTTGTAAGCCACCAAAAGCCCATAATAGTGAAGAAGGTTCCAGGGAGGGCATGCCCTTTGAAACTCCCCATGACCTACAAGAATAAGCAATGGACATTTCACTTCAACTCAGCAAAAATAGTGTCCTCCCTACCAAAGACACTGCTACTTGAGGATTATGAGTATACTGTAGACCCTACTATAAGATGGACAATTCAGATAAAAGTAAAATGAAAAATTGCATTTGTTTCACATCTACCATGTATTAGGCACCATGCCAAGTGTCTTCCAATGGTATCCTTTACCTAATTTTTGAAATATATTCACAGATGAAAAATCGCTCTTCAATTTTCAGCTGAAAAGTGGGTTTGGAGAAGTTCAATGGCTTACAGACATCTTAGAATTGATAAGCAGAAAGTTTTCATTTCTTCAAAACACAGTCTATACGATATCATACAAGAACCATTTAAGCATAAAGGAAAACAACATGAAGGTCTGGGAAAGTCTGTTTAATTTAAAAAGATGTGATACTGCCTATAAATTTTCAGTAGATAATTTTAAAGGATCAAGAACGTATTAAAGACCATTTTTATTCCTGAAATATTTATGTGTTTGTCTGCATATTTTCGAGGCTTCTCATCTGGCTGAATTTGAGCCATGTTTCTAATTCTGGCTAGTTGGCTGAGCAAGGAGTTGGTACGTCACTTTCAGGTTGAGTCACTACAGTCTGCTTAAATACCTTAGCTTTCTTCTTGCCTCAGCTACTCTGGCATGACACCTCTCCTGCACAAAGATGGGCAGCTGGTCTGATTCAGACTACACGAGTGTGTGTGTGTGTGTGTGTGTGTGTGTGTGTGTAGCCCTTTATTGATGTGGATCACTGAAAGTTTGAGGTTTACTTTTACAGCAACACAGCCCACGGACACCAACCCAAATCACATCACAAACGTTGCTCACATTCGTGAGATACTCTAACTAATAAACTGAGCTACCTTCGGGTTCTAGTCGAGGGTATAAAGCCATCTTGAATAATATGAGTTTTTAATTATTTGGAAAGTCCTTCTTTCAAACATATTTATTGTACTATTAACAGTGAAATAGAGTCTGTAATTATTCTGAAAATCTAATAGTAGGTCAGATTCAAGAAAACTCACAAAAGAGGATTTCACACTATTCCTAGTCTAGGAGACTAGAAACCTTATTTCTTTTAGTGAGTACTGGGATTCCTAGTTTGGGTTATTGCCTTTTTAATTAAAGTGATGACCTAAAAGAAACTGTGAAGCTGACCCAAATACTGCATCCTATATCTTCAATCAAGACCTCAGAAGTTCAAATCAAGCCAGTGACCTCTGTCAGAGCAGGCTCTCCACTGGAGCAGGCCCCAGCAAGCAACTTCAGTGGGAACAGGCCCAATGGCCTCCAAGATTGCAGAACAACCCCCATGAGTGAGGAGTGACCTCCAGGAATGCCGAGTGAGCTTTAGGGTGACTGGAACCATGGCCCCAACTGCACCATGAGGAACAAACACCTGAACATTGGATCTACTGGCATCTAGAAGATTGATCACCAGAGACACAGCCCCAACTCCATCAATAAGAAGAAAAGATGAGCAGACAAGGTAAGAACACACTCAACACTACAAAGAGCAACACGACACCAACAACTAGTGACTCTACAGCAGCAAAACTTAACCCAGTACAGATGAAGCAGAAAAAAATGACCTAAAAATATGTGTAGAAGAATGTTTGAGGCCCTTGAAGAGGGAATGAAGCATTTCCTTAAAGGAATGGAGGAAAAGATAAACAAAAATTGAAAGAAATCAGCAAATCCCTTAAAGAAAACTAAGAAAAAAGCAATAAATCAGATAAAAGAAACTATTCAAGACTTGAAAACAGAGAGACAATAAAGAAAACACAAATTGAGGGAATTATGAAAATGGAAACTATGGAAAAATAATCAGAAACCACGAATGCAAGTAAAACAGCAGAATATAAGAGATGGAAGAGAGAATCTCAAGAGTTGAAGATATAATAGAGGAAACAGACTCATCGGTCAAAAAAGAAACCATTAAATCTAACAAAAGCTTAATATGAAATGTCCAGGAAATATGGGACACCATGAAAAGACCAACCTAAGAATAACAGGGATAGAAGAAGAAGAAGCCCAACTCAAAAGCACAGAAAATATATTCAACAAAATCATAGAAGAGAATTTTCCCAACCTAAAGAAAGATATGCAAGTGAAGATACAAGAAGTTTACAGAACACTAAATAGATGGGATAAAAAAGTTTCCTTGCCACATAATAATCAAAACACTAAACATACAAAATAAAGAAGAATATTAAGAATTGAAAAGAAAAAAGACCAAGTAACATATAAAGGCAGACCTATCAGAATTGCATCTGACTTTTCAATGGAAACAATAAAAGCCAGAAGGTCCTGGTCATGTATTATGCAGACATTAAGAGACCATGAATGCCAGCCCAGACTACCCAGCAAAACTTGCAATCACCATAGATTAACAAAATAAGATATTCCATGACAGAACCACATTTGGCCAATACCTAACCATAAACCCAGCCTTACACAAAGTACTAGAAGGAAAACTCCAACCCAAGGAAGTTAGTTACATTTGCAAAAATACAGACAATAGATGATCTCACAGCAGCAAATCCCAAAGATGAGAATACAGACACTATAACATCACCAACAACGAAAACTAAGATAACACTAACAAGCAATCACTGGTCATTAATATCCCTTAATATACATGAACTCAAATCACCTATAAAAAGACACAGGCTAACCGATTGGAAACACAAACAGAATTCATCCTTCTGCTGCATACATGAAACACACCTCAACCTCAAAGACAGACATCACCTCAGAGTAAAGAGTTGGGAAAAATTTTTGCAATCAAATGGACCTAAGAAACAAGCTGGTGTAGCTATCCTTATACCTAACAAAATAGGCTTCAAACTAAAATTAATCAAAAGAGACAATGAAGGACATTTCAGATTTGACACAGGAAAAACCCATCAAGAGGAAATCTCAATACTGAACATCTATGCCCCCAAACAAGGGCACCCTTATATATAAAAGAAACACTACCAAAGCTTAAATCACACATTAAACCCCAAACATTATTAGTAGCAGACTTCTACACCCCACTCTCACCAGTGGACACATCTGCCAGGCAGAAACGTAACAGAGAATTAAGGGAATTAACAGATGTTATGACTCAAATAGACTTAACAGACATATATAAAACATCCCATCCAAACATAAAGAAATATGCTTTCTTCTCAGTACCTCATGGAACCTTCTCAAAAAATTGACCACATATAAGGTAATAAAGAGAACCTCAGCAGATACAAAAATTTGGAATAACCCCATGTATCTTATAGGGTCATCAAGGCTTCAAATTAAAATTCAACAGAAACACTAATTTCAGAAAACCCACAAACACATGGAAATTAAACAATGCTCACCTGAGTCACCAATATGTCAAGAAAGAAATAAAGAAAGAAATCAAAGACTTTCTAAAATTCAATGGAAATGACCACACAACATACCCAAATTTATGGGACACAATGAGAGCAGTGTTAAGAGGAAAGTTTATAGCACTAAATTCCTAAATAAAGAAGTTGGAAAAAAATCCCACACTAGTGAGTTAACAGAACACCTTAAAACTCTAGAACAAAAGGAAACAAACTCACCTAGGAAGACTAGACAACAGGAAATAATCAAATTGAGAGTTGAAATCAACAAAATAGAAACACAAAGAAAAAAAAGAACACAAAACAAAGAATCAATGAGACAAAAAGTTGGTTCTTGGAAAAAAAATTAACCAAATAGACAAACCTTTATCCAAACTAACCAAAGGCAGAGACAATATGTCCAAATTAACAAAATCAGAAACAAAAAGGGGGACATAACAACAGACATGGAGGAAATCCAAACAATCATCAGGTCATACTTCAAAAACCTGTACTCCATAAAATTAGAAAACTTAAAGGAAATTGACAATTTTCTGGAAAAATATCACTTATCAAAATTAAGTCAAGACCAGATAAGCAAGTTAAATAGACGTATAGCTGCTAAAGAAATAGAAGCAGTCATCAAAAGTCTCGCAACCAAAAAAAGCCCAGGACCAGATGGTTTCTACAAGATTTTCAAAGAAGAACTAATACCAATACTCCTCAAATTGTTCCATACAATAGAAAAAGAACCTAAGTTGCCAAACTCTTTTTATGAGGCTACAATTGCCCTCTTGTAATTGGGTACTGTAATAATACCCAAACAACACAAAGACATTACTAAGAAAGAGAATTATAGACCAATCTCAGTTATGAACACTGATGTAAAAATACTCAATAAAACACTGACAAACCAAATCCAAGAATACATCAGAAAAATCATTCACCATGACCAAGTATGCTTCATCCCAGAGATACAGGGATGACTCAATATATGAAATTCTATCAATTTAATCCATCCTATAAACAAACTGAAAAAAAAACCAGGATTATTTCAATAGATGCTGAAAAAAACTTTTGACAAAATACAATATCCCTTCATGATAAAGGTCTTGGAGACAGCAGGGATACAAAGAACATACCTAAACATAATAAAGGCAATATACAGCAAGTCAACAGCCAACATCAAACTAAATGGAGAGAAACTACCAACGATCCCACTGAAACCAGGAACAAGACAAGGTTGTCCACTCTCTCCATATCTATTCAATATTGTTCTTGAGATTCTAGCTAGAGCAATAAGACAACAAAAGGAGATTAAGGGGATAAAAATTGGAAATGAAGGAGTGAAACTCTCACTATTTGCTGATGATATGATAGTTTACATAGGTGACCCCAAAAATTCTGCCAAGGAATTTATGAAACTCATAAATGCCTTTAGTAATGTAGCAGGATACAAGAGTAACTCAAAAAAATATCAGTAGGTCTCCTTTACACAGATGATAAATAGTCTGAGAAAGAAATTAGAAAAACATCACCCTTCACAAAAGCCACAAATAACATAAAATATCTTGGAGTAACTCTAACCAGACAAGTGGAAGACTTGTATGACAAGA